TTTTATTTGTTTATTGCAATGAATAATTTAACAACATTGGCTAACCTCACAGAATGCATTTTTCCCATGTGAAGAAAGCAGGCTGTAGCCCCAAAAGGCACACATGAACAGAATTAATGAAAGACTCACATGACCTCACAAGACAATTAAGCCGTAATTGAATATCTTATGAGACAATCATGCAGCGTCCCTGGCTAAAAATGATTCCCCCACGCAGAGGAAGCAGTGAGTAATTATTACAGTTGTTGGGTAGCATAATCAGCTCTGTCAGTATGGACAGTCATTGAAGAGTTGCTCACTGCAGCAGAATCTCCACTCATACTGGCCGTGTTTACCCTTAAGAGGATTCACTCACTGTTTCCTCCTCTGGAAAAAAAAAAAAAAAACTGAAGCTCTGAGTCAGGCTGTTAATAATACATTTCTTCTGTTTTTGTTTTTTTTGTTGTTTTTTTCCTACACTCTTTGTTGTATAAATACAGACCCACATACACAGAAAAAAAAATCTGAAAAGAAGGCCTTTGTGTGGAGAATCCTCACTGGGAATGAAATCAAAGTTCAAGAAGACAAATGCTTTACAGTATTTCCAAGTGAAGCATGGTAGTTTCCATAGATCATTCATGTTGAAAATGTATTTTGTGTTTTTACATGTACATTTTAGGGTATGAAACACAAAGTGCACTAAATACTGTAATAAGCTATGGGTATATGTGTAACTTCTTGGTTGAGCCAAGTCAGTCAGTGTAACTGTTGTCTTTATAGCACATCTGTGGAATTAAAGGACGCCCATTTTTCTTGCTACAGCATTGTTTTAAATCCCAAATTTCAAATCAACATGATGAAAATGAACATTTCTTTCAAATTCCGCCTATGAATAAAGCCGGATGGCTGCAAACAGGGACTTTAGTTGTTCGAACCACTGAGGCTTCATTCAAGTAGGTTCAAAGTGTCTTCTTTCTGCCTTTCATGTCAAACATAAGTGCCTTTAGCAACCATTTCAGGGAAATATCAAAGAGCAGAGAAGATGTCCTTTCTGCCTCTGGAGAGGTGACTGAAGTGTTTCATAAATGGAAAAGGCTGACAGATGTATGCGCTGTTTTGCCTAAAATCACTGCAAGAGAAGCTGAAACATTGGGGACACCTGTCAGAGGACATTCAGCTCATGCAACTTTAAGCTACAAACACAAATATCTAATCAAAAAAAATAAAAAATAGGGCATGATAATGTGCTGGTTTTGTGAGTCATTTGTTTAGTTTTCACAACTTTGACATTCAGATAAGGGATGCGAATGTCCTATGTCCAGCCAGTTCTCGCCTGCCAAAAGAAGATGACATTTTAGACAGGCTGGGACCCAAGGCCGTTTAAGAATCATCCACAATCCGAACACGCATGCTTCAGGACTGTCCAAAAAAGCCTGATAAATAACACGCATATTGTAGAGGAAACAAGCAAGCTTCACACAGCAGTTTAAAACAGACCCTCACACAGTGCGCCAGCACTGATAACGGCTAAACCACTGCGAAATCCGTTGTAATGATGATATTATCACCGTGTGGTTTAATGGAAAGCAACAGCTGACTTCATTGTCTTCATTGTATCCAAATAGACATTAAAACATTTCAACAAATTGCACGTTTAGCGAACACCTGTCCTAAGCACAGATCATGTTCTCTTGTTACTGGTCCAGGTCAGTTTTTAGACAACATCAAATTCCTTAAAACAGAAAAGTGAAAGTGAAAGGCTATCTTATTAAATATTTCCCTGATTTTTAGGAGTACGTTTTGTTTTTATACATATTGTATGTAAGTATATAGGACATAACACAATATCATACTTTTTTATTGTTTTTATACTTGTTTTTTATTGTTCATAAATGTTTTTGTCATTGTTGCTTTGTCTACCTGTGCTTTTCCAGTCCAGACCAAATCAAATTTAAGATCAGACTGTACAAAAGTAATAAAAAATCCTCTTTGTGAATGCTGCACCCAGTGTTACAAAGTTCCATTAATATTTTTAGGTACAATAGAAAAGGCAAACTGTTTTTTTGTTCTGTTCAGCAAAAAGGAAAAAAAAAAACTAGGTGACTCATGCTGAGTGTGTGTACCATTCATGCCTTCAGAAGGGCTTGCAGGGTAAATTTAAGTGGAAAGTTTTCTTGTAAGGACTTAAAATTACTTTGCTATCAGCGCCGGAGTTGAATATCCAAGCACTAAAAGCATTATTTCTAATACTGGAAATAAAAATGAATTTGCTTACCAGTTTATTTACTAATGTTATGTGGGATGAAATCGGACAACTTTCAGCCGTCTGCATTTCTTGCACTGCATATGTCTTAAACGTCAAAGAAAGTAATTCATTTAATTGGAAAATTAATTAATGGAATTAGTTAATTTTAATTCTTTCAGTTTGTGAATTAGACACAAACTGAAAGAATCAAAACAACAAGAACAAGATCTAAGACTACTTTATGGTCATTAACAGGGAGTTTGACAAATACAAAGACTGTGCAGGGAGCTGCATCACCAATATCAAAAACTGACTCAAAAACCTTTAACCATGAACAATGAACATTGGTGTTGTCTTTGGTTACAACTCACAGGTACAATTATTCTCCCTTCACAAAGTCTTTTATTGTTTATTGAATTGTAATTTTAATTCCTGTATACAGAGCTTTGGAAATGTTTTCTGGACACAAATTTTTATCAAATTTCCTTTTGCTGTTTAGAGTTCTTTTGTGACCTCCTGAAGGTATCACCAATTATACTTTGGAGTAATTTTAATAAGCCAGCAACTTCTGAGGAGGTTCAGGTTGTACGTGTCTGATATTTTGTGATAATAAATACTGGTAATTATTGGTAACATTTAGAATGACAGATGATTGTATTCACTTTACAATCACACCATGAAACGTTAAGAACAGACTGAATTTGTTTGTCTTTATCTTTACAGATATCTGGCCATCCGCTACCCTCTGCGCTCCAGAGAGCTGAGAACCCCTTGTAACGCAATGGTCGCCATGGTGGTTATCTGGGGTCTCTCCTTGGTCTTTGCAGGTCCATATCTTAGCTACTATGACCTGATTGATTTTGCTAACAGCACTGTGTGTATCCCCGGCTGGGAGGAGCAGAACCGCAAGGTCCTAGACACCTGCACCTTCCTGTTTGGGTACGTCATTCCCGTGCTGGTTGTGAGCCTCTCGTACACCCGAACCATCAAGTACCTCTGGACGGCCGTCGACCCGCTGGATGGTATGTCCGAATCTAAGAGAGCCAAGCGTAAAGTCACCAAGATGATCATCATTGTAACTGTGCTCTTCTGCATATGCTGGCTGCCGTACCACGTAGTGATACTGTGCTATCTATACGGAGACTTCCCTTTCAATCAGACCACTTACGCCTTCAGGCTACTCTCTCACTGCATGGCCTACGCCAACTCTTGCGTCAACCCCATTGTGTACGCTCTGGTGTCCAAACACTTCCGCAAAGGTTTCAAGAAAGTCTTCAGCTGCATCCTCATTAAGAACGGCAGAAACAAAGTCCATGTAGTCCACGTGGCCAACACTGGGCCTGGGTTCGAGGCGGGCTCCACGGAGGTATCGCACATGAACGAGGAGAACGTTCGACAGAATGAATGTGAAATGATGAACAGGCCCAGGCGAGTGGAGCCGAGGGAGCCCACAGTGACACTAAATTCCCCCTTTCAGCACCCGACTTGATGAACGATCAGATCGGTTTCAGAGCGAGATTGCCTTATGTGTACAACTGTGCAACTATATAGAAAAAGTCTACATTTTTTCATCGACTCCAAATTTTAAATTTGTGGGGTTAATTGGGAACGAGTTAACTACTGAACACGAAAACGTTCTTCATTAATCCCATCTTTCTAATCCATTACTGCGTTAATCTTGGCATGTGGACATGATTTTAGAAAAGTTTTTTCCTGTCTCATTTATACTGCCAGCTCAACTCAACTCCACTACAGCACCAACCAGCAGACATATTTCAGTTCAAGTACTTCCAGTTTTGTCATTCTTATTTTCCACTAGTTTCAGTAGAGCTACAAAGAAAGATTTAGTTTCATATGCCAAGGTAATCTTTTTTCAAATGATTGGTTGCAATTAATGAAATTGAGGCTGCAAGGTTGTCGTGTCGCTTACGAGGAGTTCTCTGTTGTTGTTCCTCCTGGCTGATGTGAACGCCATCACTTGTGACTCATTGATAAATCATCTTCACAACCACTTTTTAACCACCATTTCCAAGTTTAGGTTTTCATTTGCTGGATTTTTCTCAATGTGATCAGGTTTTCAGGTGTAATCACTGGAGTCTAATCTGACCTTCCTGTCAGGTTTAAATCTGCCCGTTGGATATCAAGGTGTAGTTTTTCGTTGAACAGGTTGTTTGTTTTGTAATTTTGCATGCAAATGCTGTTCTCTCGTGTCGAGATAATTGTTCATTTTAGCAAAATGTGTATTTAAGATAACTCTTCAGACAGTTGCGCAAAACAGTTAAGTATTTACAGTGCAGTTTTACACCTGCATATAGAAGTTCCTAAATATGTGTCAGAGCACAATGTTGTGTGCCAGATATAAGAATCGGGTTTGACGCGAGACATTTTGAGCTAAGATATAAAAAATAATAATAATTAATAAGTGCAAAGTTCGGGATTGATGACTTACAGAAATCTTTTACAACTCTACAGTAATTGCACACATTTTCTTGCTTTTCTTGTATTTTGTATCCAGGGCATGTTTCTCTTTAGTGTAAAATATTATGCAGTTAAAAGAATGTGCTTGTCAATGAGTGCACTTATGTATCCACGTGTATTTTAAAGTGTATTCAATATTGTAAAGCTGTGAAATGATAACCACGCATTTGCAGATTTTTATTTTTATTTTTTTTCCACAAAGTGCAGATAATTTTGAGTTCACCTTTGTTTTACTGTAAGGTTGTGTCCTACCTCAGAGCTGTAAAAAAAAAAAAAAAAAAAAAGCTTTTTATTTCTGTTATGTTTCCGGACGTTTTAATGGCGAGAAAGAATGTGCTGTCGACTGGATAGCTTAAATGACCAAATAAACCAGTTTCTGCTGTGAGGTTGCATTGCAGAGCATATTTGGTTAAGAAGGAAAATCAGAAATATGAATGATTATTGCAACATTATTGCTATATTACAGCAGCTATCTCCAGTTATCTCAGTCTGATTCAATCAGTCAATCAAATTTATTTGTACAGTACATTTCAGCATCAAGGCAGTTGATTGTGATTCACACAAATATTTTTGATTTGTACAATCAGTGTTCTCTTTTCATATTGCATCCTTTAGTACTGTATTGGCTTATCTTTGCTTCTGTAGCAAAAATACAAATGAAATAGCAAAATAAATGCTTATTTAATAAAGACTGATAATGTTTGAAAGAGATGTTATGAACCTCAGTTAGTTAGTTAGTTAGTTAGTTAGTTAGTTAGTTAGTTAGTTAGTTAGTTTTGTTTGTTTGTTTGTCTACTTGAATTAAGTTCAAGTAGACCTTGAACTTAATTTGTGGTTAGATTTTAATTGCCATTTTTGTTTCAGTGTCATTCAGCAAACATTGAGTTACTGGGGGAAAAAAACTGTTTTAAATGTAAATTATATCATTCTAATCTATTCAGCTGACTGAACACAACAAAGCTCAACCGCAGCACAGAACAAAGACGTGCCTTTTTCACTGTGTTTATGCGTAACCGCCATAAATAATATATACAGCACACAAATTATACGCATAAATGAGACAAATGCAGTTTCTGTCACTAAATTGACCTTTAGTTGTCTTTTAACGACATGGTGGTGTATTGTGTTTAAATTCCTTCAAAGTTCTGTTAGTTTCACTTGCAGGATATTGTACCGATGATAGAAGTCAAACTGTGCAACATTATGGAAAAGGACAGTTTTGAGTGCATAATGATAATGTAGCAGTCATTGTATTTATTGTACTACAAAATCAATTGTTGCTACTGTTGAAAGAAAATGTCTTCCATGTGCGGTCAGGCTGTTGTGTACGTATTCATATGTTGCTTTTTGCGAGCAGAAAGACATGCAGTGAGTAAAACAAGCTCATCATCTCCAAATTAGGCAGTGCTTTTTCTTCCTGCAGCTTGAAAGTGACACACACTCCTTCAGTGAGGACTGGGACGTCATATCCCCCCTGCTGCAGCAGCTCACTTGGCTTCCTCATATCTGCAGAGACAGAATTTGGCCTGCGCTAATTAGTATTATTGTAGATCCAGGCAAATATGCCAGTTAGATTCAAACTGCTTTAGAGCAGGACACAGATGTGTAACAGAACAGTACATATTTAATCCTCACAGTGAAGTGTGTTCTCCAAGGTCTGAGACAAACCGTCTCCAAAGCTGCTTTAACGTTGCAGGTGGATTCTCTTCCGCGTTTGCTGCTTCCTTCTGTTGTGAGAGCAGCTAACGTCGGGCGAGTTCTGCTGGTGAAGCCGTCTCAGTGCCCACACATGAAGGATTCACTTTTGGCGGCTGGATTCGGCTGTGTAACAGGTGCGACTGAGGGGGTGTTTAGTGAAAATTTGTCTGTTGCAGGAGAGAGACCAGGGAGAAGTTTTTAGTCGATATTTGTTCCAGCGACAGCAAACCTCAAGACATAAATACTGTATGTTGGCTTTTAGGTGAATTTCCTTGCTCTCCTTATGATGTTGGTTGTTGCTGCGCTTTCGGAAAAAGGAGATGACTAACTAGCACGAGGGCCAAAACAGAAGAAGTCCCTAGAGACTGCTGTTTCTATGTGAGGTGGTAGCAGAGCCTGGAGCATTGGGAGGGATGATGAGAAAACAAAGAGAAAATTAATCAATAGCCTCAGGTGTTGTGAGGAAAATTGAACATTAGACGCAGATGATGTCCACTGACATGATGGGAGTTTAGGACACAGAGTGGATTTCTGAAGGGATTTTAAAGGTTGTTATGATTTAAGTATAGATATAAAGCTGATAAAACACAAAGAAGACAAAATAAAGTTTGGGGTTTGATAGAAAACCAAAACAAACAGTACTAAAAGACACTCCTTTACTACTGCATTAGGCACTCCTTGTTAGTAGCAGGTCGGACAACCTTTTGTCTTCAGAACTGCCTGAATTCTCTGTGGCATGGACTCAAAATGTTGTAGGCATTCCTCAGATCAGAAAATTTGATTTTGCCTAGTGGGCAATAAATTAAGAACACTTGCCCCACAACGTTACACCACCACCCGATAGAACAAGTTAATAATAAACAACTGCAGGTCATTTACATGATCTGAAAAAATAAAAATGAGATTCTAAACAAGGACTTTATTCCCCAGCCATTTGCAGGCACAGTCCGATGCCCAACATGGATTGTTAAGCTTGCCAAGGTAAAAGAGCAAGTAGTTAAAACAATAACCAAATAAGAACAGCTGTTTGGTAATACTATACTTAAGGTTAATTAATAAACAGTAGAGTGGTTATGCTGCGACTTGTTTTCATGTTAAAGTTGAAAATATTGGGGAAAGGAGCAACCTGTGCTTGTGTTTTATGAAGTATTTAATTAAGTAACTGTCTCTTTATGATTAAAATATCACATTTTCCCAATACATTACAGAAAATGTCCATGCAATAATTGTAACTTTAAGGCTGTAAAATAATGAAATAAGTCATTATGTTTTATTAAAGTGAAATATCATATTTACTCATCAACAAAACAAAAAATAAAAAAAAAAAAGTAAAAATAAAAAGGAACTACACAATATTACACAGTTATGTTTTTTATTACTCCGTTGTTGCAATCCTCTATGTTATCAGAAAACTCATGCCCTTTTGGAAGGCTGAGGGAAGAAAAATCCAAAGCATGAAAAGACCAATACATGCATAGCCAGGGGTTGAGTGGGTGTTATTTATCACTGCTCTTAAAGTCAAATTTGCCAAAAGTGAAGAGATTAGCCCTGCCAGAAGGTTAGAGGTAATTCTAGAAAATCCATACCTACGTCACAGATGTCCTTGGCAGCATCTCCACTGGCTGTTTGGTTGCCCTGGAAACTCTACTGTTATTTATCTTGAAAATTGCTTTGGGACATAATAATGCTGAATTTTGTCAACAGTTCCTAGCTCAGCTTGTCTTCCAGTTTGGGAAAAATAAAGATATTGTGTCAGACAGCATTACAGTAATTCAGGAAGGAGGAGGCAGAAAAGTGTTTGTGTATTTTTGTTCAGTTCCAACCTCTCTCATTGATATGAATCACTCTATGTTTAAATGCAGCGGATTTAAAGTGTCTAAGCCTCAATTCAGCAGTAATTATCTGACTTTATTAGACAAAACCCCCCCCAAAAAATCAATAATAACCTTCCAGTGCGTTGTAGAGCAGGCATTTCTAAGACAACTTTCACTCTTAGTCTAACTCCAATTAGAATTGCAGCTGTGTCATTTTGTTTTTGCCTCAGTTTGGTTCATTGTTTCCTTATGTTGACTCAAATTATATCAGTAGAGCTCAGAGGAAGAGGCGAGAGAAACGAATAGTGTCAAGAGGCAAGAGGTCATCAGGTTTCTCGGTGATTCAGTCTAGAGTGGCACAAACAAACAACAGGTTGCAGGATGGAGCCATGCTGAGATGTGAAAAGAAACAATAAAAACTGTGCAGCTTGGTGCTGCTTTGTAAAATTGGGACGTGTATGAAGATAGTTTTATTGGAGCTTGCCTTAACAATTGTGTCTGTTTTCTTGTGGTTATCAAGAGTTAAGCAGCTAATATAAGGAAGAGATGTTCTGAGTAAATATTTATTTATTCCTGACACACATGGTGAGTCGTTTCAAAACAATTTTGCATTAGAAATCTGTTCTTTTTATTTTTTATTTCCCAATAGGGAAAACCATTTTCTGCTTACAGTCTGTTAGAACACTGATCCACCTGAATGTCATTTATGCGTAATGGGGCATGTTTCTTCAAACTGTTTCCGTTAATGGTTTGCTGTGTGTTAATTCAGGCAATCACATGTACCGTCACAGATGAAATTAGAGAATTACAGCGCCATCTGCAGTCTGTAGTAAAGCACTGCGGATTTGCTGAGCTTCACAGCACAAACGCTGCTGCGTAAACGCGACACAATGTGGCAGCAACAGGTCAACAGAAAGAGTCCCTTAGAAAACTACTAAATTTACCCCAATTGTGAAAGCAAATAAAGCTTGACATATTCAAACTGTTACGTGTTACATATGCATAAATATTGTTACAATGTAGTCATTTTATATGAAAAATTATCCCAGTACAGCATAATTGCCTAATATGTTTTGCACAATTTATATAATTATGATAGTATGTCTATGACAAACTACTGTTTAGTAATTAAAAGGTAATAATTGATAAGTGGTAATAACACTGATTACTATAATCACTCCATTATTGCTTCTGTCTTACTAAGACAGTACTCCAGTATTCCCATTTCATTATAAAGGCCTATTTTTCAAAATATTTTAACAGAAAATATCAAAATTTTGAAAATGTAAAATTTTGAGACTTTGCTATACAAAACACCAGAGAACTCAACCTTTTTAAAAACCTTTTCCTATATGTTTTTAGCGGCATTTCATGACTTCCACTGACTGCTGGCTCGCGTCCCATTTAAAGGTGAAGTCTGACAAATCACACAAAGCTGAAATAGTGGTTTATTGCATGAATTTATTATTCTGGTACCTTAAAATGGTCACCGTGCTAATTAGTGAACAAAATAAAACAAGAAAAAAAAAAAAAAAACAGGTCCAAGACTGTAAATGTGAAGGCTGAGCTGCTTACTGCCGACAGCTTAAATTCTACATATTTACATTTACATAAATAGATAGAAAAAAAGTGGATGCACATGAAAAAAAAATCTCTACAAAGGAGAAGGAAATTGTGTCACGTTGGGCTGCAGACATCATTAGCATAGCAATAAAGGCACTCTGTAATTCAGTGTATACATTACATTGATTTAATAAGGAGAGGAGCTCGTACAGAACAGAAAAGATTCTTTGTTCCAAAGTGATGAAAAATAACTCGCCAGCAAAACAGAGGATGTTGAAGCCACATAAATTAACAAGCTGGTAATTAATAGAACTAATAAACAACAAATATATTAAATTGATTTAAGTTATTAATCTAAAAAGCAGCATCTGTAAAAGCAAAAAGTGTGACATGCCGTGTTCCAATAAAACACATACAGCACTCTGCATTCATGGTCTACCAGTGTTCTGTCCTTCTATAAGAATCCACATCTTTAAAATGGCTCATTTCTCACTATGGATTCCAGCGCAATGTTGAGAAATAAAAAAAAAAAACGACAAAACAAACAAATGTGGTGGCCTTGAATCCCCATTTTGTCTTTGCAAACGTAGCTGACACCGAGCCATTAGTATTAGTTTTTTGTGCCATTTCAGTGCAGAAAATATCCTCAGCATTGTCTTTACACGGCCAAGATGGCAGGCTACGTAAAATGACAGGAGACGTTTTACTCATCGAGTGGAAGGAAAACGGTAACTCTGCAAGCTTCATCAAGTATTTCTTCAGTCTTTTGCTGATATTCATAAGAAAATCTCAATCGTAAAAACAGGTTCGGTCTTCAGTGTGTTTTCTACTACAAAAAAGCAGCGACTGGGATATAAAGCGCTGCTGTAAAACGACGTTTAAATGGGTCATTCCGAAGGATATCTTTTTTTCTTTTTTTCTTTGGTGCAAAATGTGTTTATCACATATAGATCATAATGCTCCTGCCAGGCACACAGAGAAGGAGCCTGCATTTTCATTGATTTACAGACTACAGAGTTATTCAAGGTTTAAAGTTGCACTAAAAGAAATATTGCAACAACAAATGTATGATGGAGTTCATTCCTTAAGAAATCTTGGAAAAGAAACATAATGACAATTACTGACTGCAAATCAAATGCAAAAAAAAGAAAAAAAAAAGAAAAACGACAAAAGTTTCAGGGATTTTCTTCTTATTACCTACCAGTAAAACAGCTCCTTTTTTAGTTTTACAGATAGCATTAGCATCAAAACGATTAAGCATAAAATATCATTCAATAGTAACTACATATTCAAAGATTCAAACAAAAAAAATATTTAAAAGAATCACTGCTAGTTAAAAGACTGATGGTAGTTGTTGCTGTCAAGAGTCACTCAACCAATTATAATGTTTGGAGGGTAATTACTCTATCGGTTTGGAGAGCTTTTGTTTCTTACTTAAATAATTTGAAAGCATTTTGTCTCTACTGTGGTTGTGCTTGATATAAAAATGTCTTTGATCATCTGAAGGAAAGTGACCAAAAGGGAAAAATTTGAAGATATATGCAAAGGGGGAAATACGTTTTGTGATAATTTTGCATAGATTCACATTTGGATTCCAATTTTTATTTTTTCTTTTTTTTTTTTTTTTTTTAGAAATGATTGCATCACATTTCTTTTGTTAGTTTTAGCTGCTATTGGGCAAAACAAAATAAATAAATCTAGTCTTCTAAAAGTTGTGTTAGCTACATTGCCAGTCAGCGTACACCAAACCAGGAACATCAGAAATATTTTACACAACTGCGTCAGTTCTGATACTCTTGTAATAAATAGCTTAATTTCATATGAAATTACTCTCAACGTTTGTTAAATATATTAAATGACATTAAACCTTCCAAACTGTGCCAAACGATTCTGAGGAGTTTGTCTGTAAGATTAAGAAAACCTCAACTGAGAAAACCTGTTCACAACATGTGGATAAACAAGCAGCCTGTCAAAATAAAGTTCTGATAACATATAAAAGCACTTAGAAGATCACAAACATTCAAGTCAAAAAAAAAAAAACATCGGCTTTGAAAATGATTTTCTATCACCATTAACCCCGAGAATCATTTTCATAAAACTCAGCCATTTCATTTTAAATAGATGAAATACAATAATAATAGTAATAAAAAAAAGTTATTACCCCTTTAACACAAACTGTACATATCTGGCATCTGGACATTTAAAAAATTGGAAGTGCTTCTACTTTAGGAAAGGCTTCCTCTGATATATCTTTATCAAAAATATGCAGCTTCAGGAGAGCTTTTGTTCTTCATCTGTCTAGAAAACTTTACAATGCTACATCGAACTCCAAAAAAATGTGAATGAGGTCTTCTCTTCAGCGCCTCTTATCCATCCCTGCTGTCTCATTTTCCTCTGATCTCTGTTTCTCACTTCCCTTTTCACCTTCGGCTCCTGCTCTCCACTTCTACTTTGCCTCCTTTCCCCTTCGGCGTTCACATCAGTCAACCTTTTCAACTTTCCCGATGATCTTTTCCTCGAAGATGGGCAAGACGGCGTCGTCCTCGCGTATCTCTTCGAACACCACCCCACAGTCGAACTCATCGCTCACCTTCTTGAAATAATATCTAAAGAAAACGAAACAAAAAAAAATAGCATTGATGTATTTTTTAACAAAATGAAATGTTGAGGTTCTTTAATAGTTACAAATGCTGAACCCAATTCAAAGGAATCATTGAGTAGAATCTCATGCTTAAGACGAGCTAACATAACATAACATAAACAGCCTTGAAAAGGACTGAATTTCATTAGTTTGTCTCTGATTAAAACATGCTTTATACAAAAAAAAACTTCTTTTGTTGACAAATTTTTAAAATAATTGGCCATTTGAAATCAATAAAAGATGCTATTTTACTCAGAGATGCATCCGACATTG